GGAGTTTAACTCTTTCTTTGTCAGAAACCTCACTGAGGCCCTTCCTTCCCCTCCCTGTCTTCCAATTTATCTCCAATATGACTAATCGAGCTGCCACAGGATTAGTGAGGACGCAATGAAGTGTTTGCCGTCATGTGAGTGTGCCGTGCATGGTACCCCGATAGAGACATCTTCCGCAGGGGTCTCCCAAAGATGAGACCACAGGACAGGCATGCCTGACGGTTCTGTTAATGCAGCCCAGGGTTGCACTTGGGCTTTTAGCCCTGTAGACCACATAGGGCCTGGACTCAGCTCAGACTTCTAATCTGTGGGAAGCAAGCTTTGAACGGGCAAGATCCTACGGGGGCAGTGGTGTCCGGGCCCTGTGCAAGAGCTGGGGGCACATCTCAGCCCTGAGGTCTGTGTCCGCGCTTTTCAGGCAAAGGCAGGGAAACTGGCCGGCTTCTCTGGTGCTCTAGGATCCCAGGCAGGTGTCAGAAGAGAGAAGGAGGCTGTGGACAGGGGATGAAGAGGGAAAGGGCAGGTCTGCGGAGATCCTGGGACGAAGAGGGGGGAATTCTCCAGGATACAGTGTGGAGGCGCCGGGTCCCACATCCAAGCCTTTTATACTCTTCAGTGCGGCCATGTCACCGAGGAAATCTGCTGGCCATCTTTTGGAAGCTGGAGGCCCACCTAGTGAGTGTTGGCTGGGGCAATGCCTCCCCCTTGCGGAAGCTCTGCAAATGTGCACAATGGGTGTGTCAGAGCTCGCAGCTCGGCTGGAGGATCCCACCCCACCTCTTCCGGGGTCTCAGCCGTCTCTCTGTCAGTCTGCTTTCTAGTCCTTGGGCGTCTCCGTTCTGTCTTGGCCTCCGGCTGCGTGTCCCTTTGTTTTTGTTTTCTGTGGGCCGCACTCCCCCGGTGTATCTCTGTCTGTCCTGGGGCCTGGGCCGTGCGTCTCCTGTCCTTCCCATTAGTCTCCGCCTCATTCTCTGTTGGATTCCTACTTCTGTCTCTGACTCGCTCCCTGCCCCCTCCCCTGTCCCTGTCCTCGAGCGGGGGTCACGTCTGCCCTCCGCGTGTCCGAGCCGGTTCTTGAGAAAGACTGGGGCTTTCTGCTTGTTTCGAATGAGTCAGGAGCTCTTGGGGGGGGGGTCAGGGCGCAGGTCCCACCCAGCAGTGACCCCAGAGAGGATGCGCAAGGGCAGAGGTGCAGAGGAGCTGGGGACTTGGGGGAGGTTTTCCGAACTGTGCACATGAGACTGCTGGACGCATTCCGGGGGGCGTCAGGGAAGAATGGATGAGCGGGCTGGCGCCAGCCTGGCGACACACCATGGTGTGTGTGTGGGGGACATGACACAGACCCTGTCCTGCCTCTTCTGGGGAGGGTCCAGGTCACGACCCCCACTGGATGTTAGGTCTGTCTCCAATCCCACCCACCCCAGTCCTCACCCAGACTTTGCACAAGCCACCTCCTTCCTAGAATAGTTTGCCATCACTGCACCTGAGAAACTGCCTCTCCTAGGAAGTTTCCCCTGATTTACAGGCCCTGGGATGGACGCCTGTGTTCCAGGGAAGCAGCCTCCAATTCTGTCTCCCTCACCTTGTGTCTGTCACTGTAGCATCAAGGCCTTGGACCTTGCTGAACCCCAGAAATACTCAATAAAAGGATTCCTGGAGTCTCTCCCAGCCCCCCGGATGTCACCTCTTCCCTGAAGCCATCCCTGCCTGATCTATTAGGACTGTGGCCTCTGCTCACATGTGATGGCTTATAATTAAACTCTTTAGGGCGGGGGATTTAGCTCAGTGGTTCCGCCTCCTGCCTTGCAAGCGCAAGGTCCCAAGTTCAATCCCCGGTACACACACACACACATACACACACACACACACACACACACACACACACACATACACACACACACACACACACACACACACACACATCTTTAAAACTACATAAGACGAGAAACTCAGCTCCTCAGTCACACCAGCCACAGGGCAGACACTCAGTGTCCACACAGGCTGGTGACCACAGCTTCTAGTGGATGGGGCAGGCACAGAACGTTGACGTCATCCCTGCAGTTCCACTCTCAGACAAGCTTGGGCAAACACCCCAATTCTGAGGTCCTTTCCTACCTCAGAGGGAAGGTAAAGATTGAGGTCTCAGGATCCCTAGGGGCCAGGCCATCAGGCGATATATATGTGTGTGTCAGATGGATGGATGGATGTACGGACCGATGATACATGGATGGACAAGTGGGTGAATACGTGGATATCTGAATGGGTGGTTGGGTTTGTAGATGGATGGAGGGATATGTGGATGAGTGGATGGATGGATGGGTGGATGGGCTGGTAGATATATGGGTGGAAGCTTGCATTCCCCAAACTTCTGCCCTCTGGAAGTACCAGGGGATTCAGGCAGGAGCAGCACTCTGATCTGGCCAGGTGAACTCTCCTGTAGGGATGTGTGTAGAGGTTTTTCTACTCCAGGTTCTGAAATGAACATAGGGCCTTTAACTGCCCTCAATCTATAAACGTGAGTGACCATCATGGGACTTAGGGATATAAAAATATGAGTGTTCCTGCTGGGAGGGTGATGGATGGCAGAGTCACCCTTGGAAATCTCTTTCTTCAGGGGGAGCAGACAGTCTGTTGTAGGCAGAAATAGAAAAGATGGCTGGCAGGGGATGAGTTGCAGGAGAGCACCAGATTCTGGTCAAGGCCAGGTCCACCTGCAGACTTGAGCCCCAACAGAGGCTGGGTTACTGGAAGAAGACAGGCAGCTAGCTGCAAGACTGGAGTCCTGCCCATCCCAGGGCAGAAAGGAGTCAAGGCAGGCCTGAGAGGAGTCCTCAGACCCAAACCCTTAGCAGCAGCTGGACCTGGATATCTATTGCAGTCGGGATGGGAGGGGGGGCTGGTCCAGCAGAAGCAGGTGCTCAGGGACAAGCTCTGTCTGCTGTCCCCAGGGCTGCTCTCCACTTAGCACACTAGCCCCCAGTCCTGTCTTATCTGGACTGCTCTGAAGGGACAGCCATCGGTGCACCCCTGGGCAGGAGAGAGGGTGATCACACAGTCAGACCCTCTGCATACGCACACCCCTGGGTACACGTGTATGGACACACGAGTACACAGACACTTGCATAGATGCACTCTGTCACCAGAACACTCATGTGAATGTTTGGACACACAGAGAAAACACGTGCTCACACACTCACGGGCACTCACAGACACCTCCCCACAAACTGTTAGTGACTACTAGCACGGTGGCTTTGTTGGACAAGGTCGGGAGTGGCCTCGAGGAGACAAGGGGAGTGGGGACTCCACAGCCACATCTCACCCCCCGATCCCAGTGAAAAGACAGCTTGCTGCCCAGAACAGTGGGCTTTAGGCAACCAGGAATGGTGTAGAAGGACAGGAGACCCGGCTAACCTGCAGGACCCCACTCGGGAAGCCTGGAGGGCAGAACTGAATCAGGCCTTGGAATTTGGGTGACGCCCAGGGAGAGTGGGGGACGAGTGCCGTGTGCAGGGACCATGGGGAATGGGGCCATGGGCCTGGCAGATCCCAGTTCCCACCCTTGCTTGCCCTACCCATTCTTTTCCTGTTCCTTCTTCTTCCAAATTTCTCTGTGTCTTTGTCTCACAGGCCGCAGAGTTTCCTGGAAAGATTCCTATCTGGCATCTGGCTCAGGGATAGGCCCCAGCAGGCAGTGGGGGAAAGGCTGTCTGCTTGTCACCTGTCTGTCTGTCTGTCTATCTCATCCTGGCAGCCCCAGCTGGGGAGTGCGGGCTGGGTGTGGCCCTTGTAGTCCCACCCCTCTTTAGGCACACGGAGTGTCTGCAGGGTGGGGAACAGGAGAGCAGCCTTTGGAGCTTCTCAGGTGGCCTGGGGGCTGCTAATGGTCAGGAGTTGTTCCAGGGCCTGTGCCAGCGTTTTACTAGGGGCTTCGGGGGCCCAGTACTTACAAGGGAGTGACCCCAAATGTGTCCCAGGGAGGGAGGAAGGAACACACCCAAGGGGACCTCTAGGGTGTGGGAGGGAGGTGGCCCAGCCCCTCTTAAAGACTGAGGCCTGTGTGGCCTGGCTGTGTGACCCTGAGTAATGGGGCTCCCAGGCCTGGAGCAAAGATCACGGGGCTGTGTCTGGGTGGGAGGAGACATTCAGGGCGGTGCAAGCTCAGGGGCTGATGGCTGACCTGCAGCAGGGTCTATCCCGGAACCCTAGGTCACAGACCTGCTTCAGAGCTGGGGGTTGGCTCTGAGCTGGTGGATGCGAAGCCCGGGAGCTGGGCCCTTAAAGTTCCAGGCCAGGACCCTGGCTCTCCGGAGGTGGTAAGCGCAGGCAAGGGGTGGGGCATGAGTTCAAGTCCTGGTTTGGTAGCCTTGGCTCTGTCGCTGGCCTTTCTGGGCCTCAGGCTCCTCATCTTTGAAGACTGAAGATGACAATAACTGGTCCTTCTGGGGATTGGAGAAACTCTGTGAGAAAGAGCCTGGCCCTTCCGAGGCTCAGGAAGGAAGGGGTAGTGTCCCCTGGCCCCCTTCCTTCCCTTCTTCCATTTGCTGTTTGTCCCCACACTGTCCTGGCTCCTTCCAGGCTGCGAGACAAGGATGGAGGAGGGCAGCCCTCTTGCTGGCCCAGCCATGGAGACTCCAGGGACACTGCTGAGGACCTGCCACTGGGCTAGACCCCCACCTGTCCCTGTGTCTCATCATTCCCAGGGGGTCGGACATCCCAGGAGAGAGGCTGTCCCATCTCTTTGCCTGGGCCTCCGGTTCCTCTTGTGAGATACGCTTTTTTTTCTCCCAGCAGTGCACCAATGTCGGACGCACTCTAATGCACACCTTCATTTCATAGGTGCAGAAGCACTGCCCAGAGGGGAAGGCACCCGGGGATGTGGAGCGTGTTGCGCGCCCCCTGGTGTCCTCAATCCCAACGGACAGCCAAGAACAGGGAGGAGGAGGGGAGGAGGAAGGGGGGGAGGAAGGGGGAGGAGGAGGAGGAGGAGGAAGCTGGACTCTGCTTCCTAGACAGTGCTCAGAGGTCAGCAGTCTTCCTGTGCCAGTTGTTCGCAGTCTGTGGCACCTTGGGCAAGTGACTTGGCCATTTGTGCTCTTGTTTGTTCTTTTTCTTCATTCACCCTGAAATGAAGGCGGTAACAGTGCAGGAGCCACAGAGGTGCTGGGAGTTCGGACAGGAGAAGGGTTTAGAGTGTGCCGAGGGCAGGGTAAGTGCGGCACAAATGCTTCTACGGTGATCATGGTAGATGCCCCGTCTCCTTATGGTTTAGGTGGATGACAGCCACCTCCCCTAGGGTGGCCCGCTGGAGGGAAACGTAAGTGGCAGTGGGGCCGAGAAGGGGAGGTGGAGAATGCAGGCTTCACCTGCTTTTCGGAGCCCACTGTTCTACCCTGGGGTGGGGTGTGGAGGGCAAATGGTTGCTGGGAGATCAGGATGGGGCTGTGCTCCCTCTAGGGACCGTGAGGACGCAGGCTGGCTCTCAGTGTTGTCCGGACCGCGGAGGACATGGCCACCCAGGCCTCCCTGGCCTCGGGGAGGAGCTTGGAGGGCACTGGGAATCCTTTCTGGTATGAATTACCAGAAAAAACACAAGGAAACATAAAAATTACACTTGCAAGTCCCCCTCTAAGGCCCTTCTACCCATCTCAACCTGTCCTTCAAAACCTGCTTCTCGAGATTAAACCATTAATAATCTAAATTGCATCCTTTAAACCTTTTATGTGCAGTATTTCAATAACCGAAACAAATACACAAACTACCATTTTGGTATAAAAAGGAAGAAAAGAAAATTATATAATATTACCCACACTGTTCTGCAACCTGATTTTTTCCACCTATGCGGTGTTGTGGAAATCTTCCCACATCCATGCCCCGTGGTTTCCCCTGCTGCAGAGCATCCTGGGGCAGGGATGGGCCATCTTTCCTTTTAACTGTCTGTCCAGAAATTGACAGGAGAGTGGTTTCCCTCATTGCTTTCGTTAACAATGCGCCTTTGTCCTCACACCCACTGTCCCCTGAGGCTAAATCCCCCACACCACCGGAGCGGCAGAGGGAGGGGGAATGTGCATTTGAGAGGGTGGTGGATGACGTGCTTTTGCGGGCTGTCCATGCAAAGTCCTGTGTGTGTACCCGTGGTCCAGGGAGCGGGGGAACCAGGTTGGGTGGAACGCAGTGACCTGGACCATCACTTGCAGGGTGGCCGGGGTCACTTTATTGTGCCTTTGCCTCCTTCACGCGGGCCACAGTGCTACCAGCAGTCCTATTGAATCTCCCAGCCCATTCGTTTCCATTTGCTGCTGGACAGCCTGTCAGCACCTTTGCTTTTCTTTGGAGCCTCCACCCCCACTCAGTGGATGACGTCACTTCCTGTCTCACTGAGCACAGAAGCAGCAGAGAGACGATGAAGTCTACCCCACCACACTGCTCGCCTGTCTGCACTGGGCCTGAGTCCTCTGCCTCCTTCCTAGGCTGAGGCCGCCCCTTCTCTCCATACAATGGAATCTTTAAAAATGTATACAACTGAGATACAATGTGCACCCACAAAAGTGTACAAGTTAGCATATGTAACCTTCAGCAATCCCTAATTCCAGAACATTTTCATTACCCTATGCCTGTCAGTAATCATCTCCTGTTTTCCCTCCTGGCGATCACTAATCAGTCTCCCCCACCCCCATACACCTTTCTGGAATTCCATACAAATGCAATCACACTCAAGATCTTTTGTGACCCACTTTTTTCACTTGGAACATTGTTCTTAAGACTCATCCCTGTTGTAGCTCAAATCAGAACTTACATCCTTTTGATGGCTGAATAATATTCCATTGTATGGGTATACAACACTTTAAAATCCATTGGTAGATGGATATTTGGATGGTTTCCACTTTGGAGGTATTATAAATAATATCATAAAGAGCATTTGTGTACAAGTTTTGTTACCAAACCAGGTTTGTTTTGCCTGCGGCACAGGCAAATGACTGAAACTATGAAGAGAAAGAATTTTATTATGAGGCAGCTAAGCACGAGGAGATGGAGCCCAAGTCTCAAATCCCTCCCTGATTTGGAACTTGGGGATGTTTATAGGCTGAGGTATGGGGCAAGGTGAATGGCTGACCTACACGGCTGCTGTTATCTAGAGTCAACTAAAGGCAAGTAACTAAGAGCAAGTGAAATGGGTTAAATCTAGGGAAGCAGGGGACTAAGAGGTGGGAATGACTCAGGTGGTTTATTCAGGTTTTCCCTCAGCTTTAGTTTTTGTGTGGATGTCTGTTTTTATTTCTCTTGTTCTAATCTGAGGAGTGAGATTACTAGGTAGGCCCTATGGTTCTCCGTGTTTAATTCTTTGAGGAACTGCTACACTGTTCTCTGAGTGACTGGCCCCTTTGACATTTCCAACAGAGGGCACAAGCATTCCAGTCTTTCCTTATCCTCACCAGCACTTATTATTATCCGCCTTTCTAATTGCAGCCTCCGCAGTGGCCAGCAGCATCTCATGAGAAGTGCAGACCCATCTCCTCCCCTGCTTGAGCTTGGAGATCTCATTTTTCTCTCACATCTACTTCAACATATTTTCCTCTTTCTCCCTCACCCACCCATTGGCAAGCAGACAGGCTCTTACTTTCCCTACCTTAAAAAAAATGCAAACAAAAGAGACTTATCTTAGTTGAGCTGCTCCTCGGCTACCTCCCCATCTCCTTTTGATAGCAAAACTTCACAAAAGAGTTTTCCCAACTTTCCATATTCTCTTCCTTCATCTTACTTGAACTTATTGTTGTCAGGCTTCTGTCCCACGCTGGCACCAAAACTTTTCAAGATCGCAAGTGACCTCCACGCTACTGACACTGGGAGGCTTTTCACTGGGCAGTGGTAATCGCTTCCTTCCCTTCTCTGACCTGGGCTCCAGGCGATCTCCTCCTTGGTCCCTCCCCTTTGAGGGTCCTCCTGCTGACTCTTCTTTGCTGTTCCTCCATGTCTTCTTGACTTTGTGATGTTAGAGGGCTCGGGGGCTGTCCATGTTCCCACAGGGTCTCGGGGATCTCCTAAGTTCCTATGACTTGGAGGTCACCCAGTGCCAATGACCCTCGGACTGTGGCTCCAGGTCAGGCCTCTGCGCTGAGCTGCAGACTCTGCTGTCCTTGAGTGTCTGAAGGGCAACTCTGAGCTGGTGGCAGTCCTGATTTCTCCCTTAGAGTCCACCATGTGGCGTCTCAGCGGACAGTAGCACATACTTCTGCAGCAAGGCCTCGTTGTGCTCCTTGACTCCAGTCCCACTTTCACACCCAAAAAGCCTGGTCTCGTCTCACCCAAGGGCTGAGCCACCTTCCTGATCAGCTTGGAGGCTGCAGTGCCTCCTAAATGGTACCCCCACTTCTGCCTCCTAGATGGTACCCCCACAGTGCGCTCTCCACACAGAGCCTTTTAAGATGCGAGCCAGTAGTGCTGTCCTCTGCTCGGGCCCTGGTGGCGAAGCCCCTTTTCACTGAGGCGAAGCCCTTGAGATGGGCCTGAGGTCATCCTGCAGGGCGTGGCCTCACCCCTATCCCTTGTCACCCTCCACGTGGTCCTCACTGGCCCTGGCTGGCCCCCAACCTACCAGGCAGGACTCAGGCCTCTGAACTCGCTGCTCCCACTGCCTGGGGTGACTTAGCTCAAATCTGCATGACTTTGTCCTCATCACTTTCTCCCCTCTAGACTTCTCAGATGGCACTGCCTAGGTGAGGCTGTGTTTGGCCCATGTGTGAAGTCGCAGGCGGGGCCCTTTCCCCTTCCTGCTTCATTTTTCTCCTTGCTGCCTATGCACTGTGTACTGCACTCACTGGCCCTGTCTGCTCCCTGTTTCCCTAGGGCAAGCTCCATAGGGGCAGGGTGGGGCTTTCTGTCTGTTCTGTCACTGTTGGGTGCACAGCCCCTCTAATCCTGCCTGCTGTACAGTGGGTGTGGAATAAATGTTTGCTGCATTGGATGTAGCTCACTGTCAGACCGCTTGCCTCACATCTGCAAGGCCCTCTGTTGGGCTCTAAAAACAAACAAGCCCCCAAACACGGGCTAGGTATGTAGCCCAGTGGCAGAGTGCTTGCTTAGCATGTGCAAGGTTTGAGTTCAATACCGAGCACTGCAAAATGATACAAGGAATCTGGTGTGGTGATGTATGCCTGTAATCCCAGCATCTGGGAGGCTGAGACAGGAGGATCACAAATTTTAGGCCAGCTGGAGAAACTTAGGGAGATCCTGCCTCGAAATAAAATAAAGGGATGTAGCCCAGCGCTCCCGGATACAATATCCTGTACTACAAAAGCCCCAAATAAAACCAAACAGCAGAGACAACAACAACAACAACACCCTCCAAGCCAAATCAAACCAAACCAAACCAAACCAAATACCCCAAATCAGAATCACACAAAACCCCTGAAATAACAGCAGAGCCTAATCAGTGACAACAGCCCCAAGTCTGACGCCGGCTTTGCACAATGAAGCGGCCCCCATGCTATGCTACAGATGACCAGCAGATGGCACTGTGACTACAGAAATGTCGGGCGCTTGGCTCCCCTCTGCTGTTCTCAGAAATCCACCCTGCTTCAGAGGTGAGCTGCTAGGATGTGCGTGTGACAGCGTACATGCCTCCCGGGTCAGCCTACTGCCGGTTTCTCATCTCCTGGCAGGACTCCAGAGAACCTGCCATTACTTCTGGGCTGGTGAGGGGTCCATGTGACCGTGGTGCCTGGATCAGGGAGCCAGCCTTTGGAACTGTTCATGGAGCCCTGGGACAGCCACCTCTGCTCTCAGCCATGGGTCCTGCCCTGCCAGCCAACCCAGAGCAGCCTGGGCCCTGTGCCTGGGTGTGCCTGTGGTGGGGGTCCTTCACCCCCTCCTCAGGTGGTGGGGAATACTGAGAACCCTCCCTTTGGTTCCCTGTGCTTCCTGCTGTCAGCGTGTGGAGGAACAGGCAAAGAGTTGGAGCCCAGACCAGAGCCCATTCCTGGCTCTGCCACTGGCCAGGGGGGTGACCTGGCCAAGTACTGAGTCTGACAGTTTGTCATCTGGCCGATGGGAGAGACTGCCCCAAAATTGTGGGCTGGTGAGGTGCTCCTCCCATCTCGTGCTGGGCCAGCATGGAGAGGTGCCTGAGGGAGTGCAGGTCCCCACAGTGGCTGGGAGCAGAGATGGGGCCAGAGCTGTCCTTTGATCGTCTGCTCACTCAAACATCTGTGAGATGTGTACCCTACATATCCAGTGCTATGCAGGGTTTGGGGGCAGTGGGGACCAGGGACTTTGCTCCTGCATTAAAGAAGCTATGAACTGATGGAAGAGACACGACTAAATCTACACGAAACAAAGTTAGATAGTAAATATAAGACAATGTACAAGAGATGTCAGCAGGATTCATGGTGAATGGCCCAGTAGAAATGCTGGGAGTGACCAGAGGGGCGTGTGGGCCCGGGGTGGTCATGGCAGGCTTTGGGGAGGAGAGGCTGTGCCTGTGAGAGCCAGCCTGTAAGGACGCCAGCTGTAACCCCATGCCTCCACCCCACCCCATCGGCACCCATGGACCAGTCCTGGGCTAGATTCCAAAAGCTGCTCCTGATGAATCCATGGCTCAGGGTGGAAAAGAGAGACCAGCTGGAGGCGTTCCGCTGCCTGCCCGCCTGCGGTGCTGTCTAGAATCAACTGAGGCCACTTGGAGTCTGACATGGTCCTTGCCCAGGGAATGTTTCCAAAGATGGTTCTGTGTCCATGGAGATAGGGCAGAGCACCAGCCAAGGACACTCTGGTCCCACTGGGGATGGTGGGTGGGGAGGTGCTGGTACCATCAGATGGCTGTTCCTCCCCCAGGGGGTCAGGGTACTTTAGAACCCGGAGCTGATGCCCTCCTTCAGGACCCAAGGGATGGGAGTGTGATAGGAGTCATCACCCTCATCCTAATGTCACCTTTAGGAAACCTGAAACTGCCCTAAGACGTGAAAGCCACTGTAGCCAGTGGTAAAATACACAAGAGGTTGTGAGCGCCATCTCCTGGTGAGACTCTGCTGCCACCTCCAAGAAACCTGCGGCCTCTTTCTCATTCTCTGGAGTCAAAAGGTCTCTGGAGGTTACCGTGGGATGAGTGTGGGGGAAGGCGGAGGTGGCAAAAGCTTCATCTGACTCTTCCTCTTTTCAGAATCTGAGGCCACCACCCTGTCCACATCAGAGTGTGCCCAGTGTGGCCAACTCTCTATGCGCATTCTAGGTCTGGGGTCTCCATCCTTCTCCCCATCCTCTCCTCTTATCCTGGCTCTCTCAGGCTCCTTGAAGAGTTTCAGGCTGCAGGAAAGGACCGGGGAGCCAAGGCACTCCCTTGGCCTTGCTTACCCCTGGAGCGCCTGGCCTCTGCGGCCTCCATTTGTCAGGGAAGCTGCCCTGTTGGGCCGTCCCCTCCCAGGCTCTAGGCAGTGGTGCAGGAAGTCCCAGAGCACTGGCTGCCTCTCCCTCCCTGCCTGGGCTCAGTGCTGCTGCCCCACTCACAGCCTTGCCCAGCTGCCCGCCTGGCACAGAGCACGGCTGCCTGCTCTTCTAGGTTAGGTCCTTGGGCAGGGACAGTCTGTCTGCTCCACCACACCCCTCCCCCCGGTGTGGCGTGAAGCACACACACTCACTTAGATTAATTAATCTGCTGCCCAGCCTGCTCCTCTGACTTATCTTTTATTCATGGACAAGCAGCGTTCTCCGCTTTACCAGGATGCAGGCATCAATATTTCATCTTGCTCGGCCTGCCAGCACCTGTCTCCCTCCCTCCTGCTTCCCACTGGCTCTAGGACCCAGAGGGCTGGGTGTGCTGGCCACCTGCAGCCACAGGATGCAGGGCTGCTTCCACGGGCCCCTGACCTGTCCTCTGGGCCATCCCTCTGACAGAGCGGGCGACCAGGCACCTTTCTGAGTAAGTGACTGGAGGGGAGGCGGGCAGGGCTTCGGAGCAGGGGCTCAGGGTTCCAAGCGGGGCTGAACTCACTGGGCCAGGCTGGGGCTGGCATTGGCACATTATGCCGAGTTGTCAGGAGGGAGAGGAATGTTGCAAAGTGCCCAGCACAGGCCCTGCCATGGACTAGGTGCTCATTTTTCTTCCCCTCCCAGACCAGATGTCCTGCTCACTTTTTGTCCATGCACCTGAATGCTGGAAGAAAGGAAGTGACAGCAGTGGTCAGGACCGGGGACATCTCGTCCTTCTCATCCCACTCACCTGCAGACCCTCAGGCCTCCCTTCTGTGCTCAGGACCCTGAGGGCTGAACTGAACATCTGGAGGGGCGTCTGGGGCTTGGGGGCCTCCTGAAGGGCACCAGGCCCTGAAACGCCAAATCATGTGCTGGTGTGTGGGTATGGAGGGGGAGAGGGTCAGTGTGTGCTGTGCATGTGCAGGGTGGGGTGGGAGAGAGAGCGGAGTCTTTTCTCAGGAGAGTCTCAGTTGTGTCAATGAGTCACAAAGGGCACAGACCACAGCACTCTGGGAAGTCCGACCTCTTTCATACCGGAAGAGGAGAATCAGTGGGTTATACTAGTCTGAGGAGCTACCTGTAAGGGGTGTGTGTGAGTGTGGGCACTGTGGGTGTGCAAGTGTGCACGAGTGTGTGTGTGACAGAGAGAGAAAGAAAGTGCATGCGTGCGTGCATGCGTGGGCAGCAGTGTGTGTATGCCCTGGGTGGGTGTAGCGGGGAAGGAACCAGGTGCTGTCCTGCACGGAGGCCCTCCTGGGGAGGTGGCCTAGGATGGAGGCGGCGACACCATGTGGCCTGCGAGGGGCCAGACACTTCACTGTAGTCCTCTGCTGGGTCCATGGCAGGAGCTGGCCTGACTTGACTCCTGGGGAACTGCTTTGGCCCTGGCTGTGTGTGGGGGACTCCTGCCCTGAGTTACAACTGCTTCCAGGGAAGCCCAATTCTTAGTGTCCACTCCAAGTGCAAAGCCCAGCCGCTGTGCAGCATTGTGCTGCCCTCTGCCCAGGCCTGCACTTAGCTCAGGGGCACTACCTGCCCCACCAGACGCAGGGCAGGGCCGCTGTGGCCATCTCGCTTGCCCTTCTCCCTCGCCCCTTCAAGCGTCTGCTGAAAGGTCACCTTTTGCGTGAGGCTCAAGCCTGCCCCTCCTCTGTATCTTTTCTTTCCCTCCATGGTGCACACAGCCTTCTAACATCCAGGCTCATCAGTTGCCTGTTTATTGTATGCTGCTTGTCTCCTGCCAGTACAACAAAAGTTCCCTGAGGACAGAAGTTCTTATATTTTGTTTACCAATTTGTCTGTCGCAGTGCTTGCTAAAGATCTGTGCAGTAAATATTGTAGAGTAAATGAATGAACGAACAAATGAATTGTCTACCACATTCCTCAATGGCCCATTTAGGACAAATCATGGATATTTTCCTCCTCAGGCCTAAGTGGCAGAAAAACCTTAGCCTGTGTTGAAAACTGATGTTCAGCCATAAATTATTTGATATATTTATTGAGCACCTACTATGTACCGGGCTCTGTCCTGGGTGCTACAGAGACTGTAATGAACAAAACTGGCAAACATGCTTGTTTTCTAACATTGAATGTCTGGCTCACAGGTCCTGAGAATCTTGTTCTGTTTCCATTCTGCTTTTGTTGCCCCCATGCCCAGAGCTAATTTAGCGAAATTTTCTAAGTATGACAACGTCCCCTTTGATCTCACCTCATTATCCTACTTTTCTTCTCCATGTCGCTTGATTGCTTTTACAGGAAAGGGACATTCATTACAGAGCAGGACTGTCCAAGAACCTGGGGAGCTGCTGGGGAGGGAGTGCTCTTGGTCTCTCCCCGAAGTCTCTCTGGGCCCCTCTCTCTGGATCTCTGCCACCTGCTTCCTTCTGTCATTTTCCCACTTCCATGGCTGCCGATGAGGCCCTGTCACTCTGGTGCTTGGGTGAAATCATCCATTTAGATATTTAATCTTATGCTATTATGTGTATTCTTTAAAAATATTTCAAAACCTTTTGGCAGCCAAATGCACACAAATTACCGTTAGAGATGAATGTGTGTGTCTGTTGCACATGTGTGGAGTGTGGTGAATGTGGGTGGGGTGTGTGTGCACGCATGTGTCAAGGGGCTGGCTCTGGAGAGAGCGTCCCCCAGGAGGAAGCTGGCGGTGATGGGTGTCGTGCACTGCAGGGGGTGGTCCTTGCTGCTGCTCTTCCTGACCGGCCCTCTGTGAAGAGAGTCACAGCCTTGTCCTGCTTGTAGGATGTGCTCTGTCACCAGCCCGCTGTCTCCTGATTATTCCTCCACCAGGCCTTGTCCAGCCAGGTTGGACTTGCTGTTCTCTTTCCCAGGTAAAGTGAGACCTTTTTGTCCTTGGCTCTCTGTTACCATCACAATGACTAGGTTGACCCCTATCACCTGAAGTTTGGTGCCAGTGAAGGGATGGATGGGCACAGGGGAGGCAGCAGCAGTTGGCATAGAGCACCTGAAGCGAGGACACCCCAGGGAGATTAGGAGGGCCTGTGGGACAGGTAGACCAATCCCAGGCAGCTACGGGTCCTAGGTGACCTTGCCTCCCTCCTTCAGTACCTCGGCCTGGGCTGCCAGGAAGGGGGACTGGTGTGATAAGTATAGAGGAGACTTTGGCATGGGCACCTTGGGGTTCTCACTCTGGCCCTTCACCCCTTCGTTCCTGTCCCCCCACCCCCTGGTTTAGGAGGAGTGGGGCCTTTGAAGAAGTTAAGTAGCTTCTCAGTACCTCAGTTTCCCCATCTGCATATTGGAACTAATAATAGTGCCTACCTGAGAGGGCTGTTAAAGGTTGGTTAATACCATAAAGAAATCAGCGGAACACTTACGTGTACTCAGCATCAGTAAGTGTTAGCCGCTGTAGTTTTCTTCTGGATAATAATAATGCAGGGCCCTCGCTCCTCTTCCCAGTGAGAAGCCTGAGGCAGAGGAGAAATCATTCTGAGCAGGGCCGGAACTTGGGTCCTGCTGGCCTCCTCTCCAGGGAGTGACCCTCACCGACCTGCACAGATGACCACTGCTCTCGGCATGACGGGGGCACTCGTGTGCTTTGCCTCTGCCCCGAGACTTGGAGATACCTGGAGGGGAATGGGGGACACTCCTAGGAGGAGACAAAGGAACTCCCACTTCACAATGGCACCGCTATCTTCAGCCACGGGCTCCCCTGATGTCTTCCTGCAGCTCTCAGGCCTGGCCTCTGGGCTGGGGGGCCCAAGGTGCAGTCTGTCTGCAGGAAGGGACCTTGGTGCCATCCCAGCCCCCCGGGTATGGCCTTATCTATTCCTTTAGGCCTCTGCAGACCTCAGGAGAGATAAAACCTGGTCCAAGCAAGGGGATAAGCTTCAGACATGTTCTCATTTTTCACTAAGATTGTGAGGGGGAGAGAGAGGGAGGGAAAAAAAAAGACAAGTAAAAAATAGCCCCATCTAGGCTGAACAGGGGAGAAAGCAATTTCCTTTTGAAATCTCTTTTTCTGATACTGGAAAGATGCAATTGGAAAATGTCCTGGTGGCTTCATCTGGGAGCCAGGGTGGCCAGGCCACCCCCAAGGCCTGAAGGGGGGGGGTGGGAGGAGGGAAGGGCCAGAGGGGAAGGGACCAAAGCTTTGTAGGTGGGTTCAGTCCCAGGCTCAAGGACAAGCAAGAAATGTGGTGAGAAGTGCTGTCCAGGTAGAAGGAAGCGGAAGTGTGAGGAGGTGGGGACTGAGCGAGAGGGAAAGAAGACTTGGGGTCCCAGAAGGATAGGGTGAAGTCCAAGCCTGGCTGTGTGCTGACCCCTGCACTGGAGAGCATGTCCTGGGTGATCTTAGGGACAGAAGTATGAGTCTTTCCAGAAAGCTGTGACTGCATAAGCTCTTTGCTGAAAGGGCACCTGGGTACAATTGGTGGGTACCTGTGGTTTGGTCAGAGCCTGCAGGGGAAGCAGGAAGCTGCTGTGGGGTAGTAAAGTGACACAGGTTAGCCTTGACACTTCAAGGTTCTTTTGCTTGTCTTCTGAGCAATTCTCTAAGCTCCTCAGAACCTCCTTCACAGCCCCACTGCACCCCACCCTCCCCAGCAGCCATGGTGTGACCAAGGGGTCCTGTTGGAGAGCAGCATGGTCCCCTCAGGGCAAACAGGAATGGGGACCAAGACTCATAGACACTGTAGGGTCCTCCCTGAGACTCTACAGGGAGAGTAGAGGTGATGTAAACTCCATGGCCAGAAGCATCCTCCAACTAACCCATCAACCAGCCATGTCCACCAGCTTACCGACCAAACTATCCCTCCACTAACCAGTCCAACCTATTATCCAGTACCTTGCATGCCACTAACTCAGTTACCTTCTAGGCAATGTGCTAACCATTTCACCAACCAGATAACCCATCAACCAGCCAATCTGCTAACCAAGCAATCCACTAATGAACTTACTCTTACACTATCACATCATCCCACAATCTAACCCATCAACCAACTCACAAACCAACCCATTATTCTAATGTCCAATCATGAGATAGACACTACACAGTAATATTAACAGAAAAGATTTAATATAAAGAGCTATTAGTTATAACAACAGATTACCTACTGTAACAGGAGTTTACTTCCCTTCTCTCCAAAGAATGTAAGAATAGGGCTGAGGATGTGGTGAGTGGTAGAGCAGTAGATTGCCTGCTTGGCTAGCATGAGCAAGGCCCTGGGTTCAGTTCTCAGTAACACACACACACACACACACACACACACACACAGAAAAACAAAGAGATATAGGAAAAAATGCCGGAGTGCTGCAGCCTCTAGGCTGGGACAAAGCAGAGCACTGGAGGCAGAACAACAGAGGCAGGACCAAGCCTGGAAGGGCCTCTGCCTCCTGACCCAGCACAGCGGGGACTGAAATCCCAGCCTCGTTAGCAAAGGCCCAGCCCACGCCCACCAGTGGTTGGAAGTTTGCTGAGGGACCATACTGGGTACAGCCAGGCTGGCTTCCGGGGTGCCTGCGCCTCACTGGAGGGGGTCAGAAAGAGAAGCCCTTTCCTCTTGCAATGTCTCTCCATCCCCTTTCCTAACAAAGCTGAACAGAGTGTCAGGTGGCAGAGGAGAAATGGTTTCAGGGCCCAGCTCCCTTACTGCTGACCTGGCAGTGAAGAGTGGATTCGAAGCAGAGAGGCCTAAGGTAGTAACTGGCCTATACCCATTTCTTTGTACTCTGCCGGCCTCGTAACCCTCCAACCAGTCTGCAGTTCACTAACCAATTGGCCCATCCACCTGTCAGCAGCCTGCTGACAACCTAGTCTTCTTGAATGCCAGCCTCTTCTGGCTCTGTGCTCAGAGTAGTGAGGGACACAGCAGCGGATGAGTGGCCTCTGCCTGAAGGAGAGACCCTGAAAGTAATTTATCCAAGTTGGGCAAAATATGCCCAACCTTGCCCAACCTATGTCTATGGCCAGCTGCAGATCAACAATGACCTGTCACACAGGTGATGTCCCTTAAACTCCAAAGAGGAGGCAGGCAGTGTGCTCTGACATGAATGGTGGGAAGTCACTGTGGTCAGTGGTATGGAGTAGCTCCATGAGGAGAGGTTATCCAGGCTTTGAAGCATAGTGGAGTGGAGACATAGATTTGGAAAGGGGAAGGGGAGGTGAGCGGGCACTAAGGACTCGGCATGGGAAGTCAAGCCCATGAAGGCTTCACTGTACCAAGGGAGCCTGTTGCCCCCACTGCCTGGGGCTGCAGGGAGCCAGTGTTCATCTTGTTGTATTTTACCACGGGGAGGGATGCTAATCACACCATCAGCTCCTTTCATACCATCGGGATAGGTCGCTATCTGCTGGAGTTCTTTTTTCATAGAGGACTAAACTTGAATGAAAATAAAAGCCCACTTAGCACGGGCAGGCATCAGCAAAAACTTCCAGCCCAGATCAACATGAAGCTCAGGAGCTCAGTTCTTTGTAGATTTTAAGGAAGAGAGACTTGCCTCCATCCTGGTTCACTGAAATCTCCACCTGCACAGAGATGGGGGCTAACTGTGATGACCTTTCCTAACCTTGAGGGTTTTCTGTGGCTAGGTCCACCTGCTCCCAGGTTCCCATCAATGGCTCAAGCATTAAGTATCTCAGAATGAAAAATCTGACTTTAGAATCGATTGATGGAGATAGGTTCTCCAAACATTCGCTGGCGAAGGTAATTAAATTCCGATAGGAGAAGTTGGAGCAGTTGGTGACGACCGGGTGGTGGGGGCAGTGTGCTGGCGCCAGGCTGCTGAGCAATGAAATCACGGGTGTGTGCAGCCCAGAGCTGGCAGCAACACAAAGGAAATTGGAGCAGTCAAATATTTCCCTCCTCGTTGAGTTCCATTTACATGTTTATAATAGAGGTTCTTAAGGCCCTAATGAGAAGGCTGCTCATTGCAGGGAAGAGGATGATTAAGGCTCTGCCAGACGAGATCAGGGAAAGGAACAAAGGCCTGTTAATTACTACAGAGGGACAGGAGGAGAGCCAGGCCTGCTCACCATTCCCCCAGAGTCTCCCCAGAGTGGTATCTTCCTGTTCTCCCAGCTCACTTTTGCCCCCAGCCCAGGTAACTTCTGGCTCTGGGCCATTTTCACTCTCCCAAGGGAGTAATTTCAGGCTGTACCCATGACACATAGAGGCATATTATCTGGAGTTGCCTTGCTCTGGGAAAGGGATCAGAGGAAGCCATGCCTCTTGATGGCTTGGCCACTCTCTGAGCCATGCGGAGGCAGCTCACAGGAATTTCCAGGCTCTGGAATGGGGATAACAGTCATTTCCCTGCTTCTATGCAGATCAAGACTTCAGTGAGCCCAGGGGGTGGATGGTAAAGCACCTCTTCCCAGCCTTCAGGATGCCCAGGAGACATGGGTATACCTGTGGAGATCCAACCTAGAGGAGTTCTTGCCAAGTTGGCTTCGAAGCTCTTTAACAACCAGAGTTCATGTTATGCTGAAAAAAGTATAAGGTTTGGACCAACAGACAACTTGGGTTCAAATTCCAGATCTGTACAGGTGTCCTGTACAGCTGATTAACCTCTCTGGGGACCAGACTCTCCATCTGTCAATGGAATAATCTCATCAAGCACTCTGGGTTTGCTTGATGACTCAGTGAGGTGACATTGATGAAGTCTGGCACATAGGAGGTGCTCAGTGCATGGTGATGACCACCTCCCCCTACCTCTGAGGAGTTGGATTGTGTGCTGAAGCTGAAGCCCTCGGAAGTCTTCATGACCCACAAGAACATGGGGATGACTGTATTCAGTATCTAGTGTCCTTAACCATGATTCATCTCCTAGCCCCTCTTTAATGATAAGTGTCTGGGAATACTGAGGAGGGAGCCCTTGGGATGGTGCAGTCCTCTCCTACTCTTCAGGACTCAAGAGGAGAAGGGAAGATGAGAAGAGAGTGGGGAGAGCCACAGGCTTGGGAGCCCCCTAACTTTCCCACGGGGAGGGTGGAAACAGAGGAATAAGAGATGTTATATAAAGCAGGGTGAACCTGGCGGTCAAGAGTGAAATTTGGACATTGTCAGGAAAATGATCATCTTGTAAAGGTCCAAACCAGAGGTTTCTCAACTAGAACCCAAGCTTCGAGGCTCAGAATCAGGGGATATGGTGTCATCTTGGTCCACTTTGGGGGTGAGTCTGGGGTGAATGGAATCAGTGGCCATGATGTCATGGAAAGAGTGAGGGACCAGGAAAGCAGCTGGGGATCTCCACACCTTTTGCTCACCAGAGTGCTTTCCTTGGAGCTGTCCGTGGTGCTGGCCCACATCCCACCCAGGGCAGCCTTGCTGGTCACTCCTTCCCTCTCCACAGCGCTGGTCTGTCAGGCTCCTTATCTGGCAGTCCCAGCCCACAGTACAGATCCTTGCTGCAAGTCACAGTACATTCAGATAAACTAAGGCTGAGGATGAGTTTTAGCCCCAGGCTTTGTGCTAACAACAATGTAGTCTCTGATCTTCCTGTAACCGAATGTGCCTTAACCAGAATTCACACTTGATCCCAAAGCTTTGTGCCTTCCCTAATCACCACCACCATTTCCAGCCTCAGGCCCAGTAGTGGTCTGAATTGGAACCATGCCCTAACCTAGGACTGAACCTGGGCTCCAAAGACTTGAGCTAGTAAAGAATTGGCTCCTCCCTACTTCTGCTTCTCTCCCTCCTCGTTATGATCATGGTTGAGCATCTGTGGCAGGCACTGGGGATGGAGAGTGCTGTCCTATCCTGTCTCTGCTTCCAGGACCTTGGCTGTGAGCTCCTCTAATCCTCAACATCAGACAGAGGAGCCCAGGCATTAACAAATTTACATTAATGTCAAAATGGCAGAGCATTCTCACAAGAGGTCAAGTCTTTGGAGGAGATGTCACCATCATTTTCCAGAGGCAAATGGTAGAGGGGGGCTGGGAGTGGTTTGGACTCTTCCTAGCTCCCTCCACTTGCCTTGTGTTGCTGATACCTGCCTCCAGGAATTGATGGTCCACTGTGGATTCTGGTTGTGCGGAGGGTGGGGAGAGAAGGGGAGGGTTAATCAGGAGAGACTTTCCTACAGAAGGTGAGTTTCAGCTGAGGGACACAGTGTCGAGAGGGGTGGGTAGAGAGGAGAGAGTGTGGCTGAAGCAGAGGACAAGGTGGTGAAGGCCCTTTGGGCTGGTCAGGATTTAGCCCATGTCCCAGGCCTGTCAGAGGGGAAGAGGCAGAGGAAGCAGAGAATTTGAAAGGGGGAGCATCTGTCCTTTCTCCTGGGGCTAACTCCCTGAGGAGCTCATCCTTTTATATGATAGAGGCGGGTGGGGAAATGGCAGCCAGAAGGAGATGCGTGGCATTCCTGGGGGGACCATGGCAAGCTCCACAGGTCTCTTTGACTGACTCTACTCTTCCACTCCTTCCTCCTATGCCTTTTTCCTGGTCCAGGCTGTACGCGGGCCCTGGCTGCAGCCCCATGTCCCTGTTTCTCCATCCTTTGGAGCACTATCTCACTGGATTATCAAACCAACCCAGGACAGTAGCAGACCCTCCTGAGATCCTCACAAGGACTCCCCAGGCATGCAGACTACTTCCTCTTTCCTGACAAATGTCTCTCAAGCCTTCTCCTTGTCTCTGTGGGTCACCAGTGGTTGGGGTGAACATATAATATACCCAAGCTGAGATGCTACTCAAGCCAAAGGGATTGCTTGAGTGATTATGTGGGGGCAGCAGGAATAGTACCAGGATGCTCTCAGTGGGACTCCTGAGGCCTCCCCTCATCACCCTCAGCTCCTGGAGGTCCTGTCAACTGCTGGCTTAGGTTCTTCAACAATTTCCTGGGCCTGGGATGCAAGGAAGAGCAGTTGCACCCAGCTCAGCTTCTGCTCCCTGCACTGTGCCCTTGGCCAGTGTGTCTCTCCCCTGCTTGACTCCCTGTAAAATGGGATGATCACTCTGCTCTGTCCATCTCCCACTGAGACAGAGAATGTGACAGACAGACGCACTACATACATGTGACCCCTGGAGTTATTGTCCCCATTTCCTGCCCAGATTTTGACCCCAATTACTTACATTTAACTTCCTTGTGCTTCTTTCCCAGTGGTGTGCATCTCTCTTCCTCCGAGGCCTCCACCCTTCTCAGAGCCTGCCCGCAGTACTAATGACTCCTTCCCCATGTCAGCCACAGCCACTCAGTTCCAAGCAGGGGAGGTAGTGTCTTTCTTCTCTGCTGGCCTTGACACAGCCCTGGATACCCAGAGGAACTTCATCATATAGATTCGCTATTATTAGAACCCATGTTTAGGCCATGGGTTCTCAAACATAAGCATGTATCAGAATTGACTGGTGGGCTTGTTAAAACCCAAATTACTGGCCTCATTCCCAGCTTCTGACTTGATAAATAAGGGACTGGGGCCTGAGAGTTTTCATTTCTAACAAGTTCTTGGGTGATGCTGATGTTGCTGTCTTGGGATCACACTTTGAGAACCACCACTGTTCTCAGCAAAAACTGCACTTGCCCTTCTAGTCTAAGGGGGCAGAAGAGGAAAGCTGGTCTCAGTGGGGAGATGGAAGATGGGGTCAACACTTCAGACTCCTGGAAGTAACTCCCACACTGTCTCAGCAATATTCTCGACCTGGGCAGCAACATTCAAGTTTAATATGCATGGAGCGACGAGAGGAAGGGAGCCAAGGAGGGCGGAGCTGGGGAGGAGGCTGCATATTTCATGCCGTTCCTGGCTTTGGAGGTCCTAGGGAGGCAGGCGTGTGGCAGCTGGTGACAACCTCATTGTAATAAGGGATGGGGAGAGATGCACCCTGCCAGGGCTCCATGGGGGGCTGGAGGGATGGGCCTGGGCAGGGTGAAGAGGGGGAAGGGAAGGCAGGCTGGGTGTGGATGGGAGATGGGGAGTAGCCATGATGGGACCTCCTGTCACTTCATCCCCTTCTCCCCAGCATCAGGGGTGGTGGGGAGATTCCTGCAGGCCTGCAGATTTCCTCATTCTATATCCAAGGGCCTGCCTCTGACCCTAAGGGCACTTCGGAGACATCCTTCCTTCCCCAAGAAGTATCTCAATACGTGCAGAAGTGTGAAGCAGAGCTCTGGTGGCATCAGGAGCTTCTAAGTTGCAAGAGAACAGTCGCACGTCTGCGTCCACTTGCTCCTTCGTGCTCCATTTCCCACACAATCTGCTTCCAGTGAGGCCAAGGCCAAGGCCATTTCTAAAAGGCTTATGATGGAGGATTTGGGTGGAATCTCTGAACCTTTAAAAAAAGCCCCCCCCTTCTCTTAGTTTGAGGTCCATGGGCCCAACCACAGCACAGCCCTGATGTGTGAATTTAGCATCCAAGACCCACAGCGAGGGAGAGGGAAGGAGGAAGGGTTTCTACTCAGAGACAAAGTTGGCCTGGGGATCCTTTCTGGGGTCAGAGTGGGGTGTGTGGGCACAGGCTCCGTGCCTCCTGCTCACAGCCTCAAAGGGCTCTCAGCACCCCAAGTTGGCTGCAGTGACAGACGTGCCCCTTCTGAGCTCAGCAGGGACCCATTCCAGCCTCTGGGGGTCACAGCACCATTAGAACCTGTACCTATGCTTCCTTGCTCACAGACACCATATTCTCAGTTTGAGACCAGCAGGAGGGTGAGGTTTGTGCAGGAGGCTTCTTAGGCAGAAGTCACACTGCTGCAGCTGTGCTCTGAGCTGCCCCAGCCCTGCCCCGTGTCTAGAGTTGTGTTTGCCCTTCAAATGGCATTTGCATGCACAGAGGGGACAGGACCGTTGGAGATGGGAGGGGAGGAAGCAATGCACCTGGCTTTCAGTCTGACAGATCCAGGTTCTGATCCTGCCTGGTTTCTAAGGGCTGGACCTTGGCCAAGTCTTATGGGCTTTCTGTATCCTGAGAATGGGGATGATATATAGATTTCACAGGGTCCCTAGCACAGTGCCTGGCACCTGTGAGCTCCCAATAATGGCATATGCCAGACTTTGACCTTGTCCATGCTAAATCTGTGTGGGGTCTCACCTCAGCTGGGGCACCTTTCCTCCAGCCCACACCAGGTAGAACCAATGGCCAGGCATCAAGCCCCCTCCCTCAGAGCAACTGGAGTGAGCATTCAATCCTGATTAGCTCCACCAGGCTCCCTCGTAACCTTTTCATTAGGAAATTATGTTTAATAGAAATTGTTCTGACACCTCTCAGCAGCGTTTCCCCATAATTTATTACCGCAGGGAGGGGGCCAGGCAGCTGAGCGCTCTGGGTCCCCATTCCTTGGGGGAGGGGCCTCTCCTTTCCCCTCCCCATCCCTGGTCCATCTCTTGCAGGGTGAGTGGAGGAACAAAGTCAGAGGCGTTTCTGCTTGGTGTCCCCATGGAAAGCAGCCCAGCTGTTAGAGCACATTTGGATGGGCCCAGCCTGCTCTCAGCTCCCTACCCTGGTTCTGACTTGGGACCACCCACTATTGCCAGGGATGCTTGTGTGTTGATCGTACCCCCAGTTTTGTGTTGTCTTCATACTGTCTCCAGATGGAGAGGGGAGTGCAGTGTCCCCAGCAGCTGTGGCACAGGAAGTGCCTAGGTGCTTGGGTTCTGCAGCCTCTCTTCTGCTGGAGGCTCTAACTGTGGGCTGTTCCTTGCCTCTGGAAGCCTTACTGGGTGGGTTCCACCTGGGCTGCTCCTGCTGGACTGTCATCCCTCTGAAGCCAGGCCAGGGGGAGGAGGTGTTCCACCTGCCAGAGTGCCAGGTTTGCATTCCTCTGCTGGGCTGGACCAGGAAGGCAGAGACTGGATGGGATCATTCTTCTCCATCTGTCTGGGGCCTTGGGATTTGCCTCCCAGCACCTCCCCGTCCCTGCTCTGCCTCTGGGCAGTGCTGATGGACTCATTGTACCATCTCTGTCCACCCCTTTCCTCCCTCCAGATTTTGATGACTAACTGGAAGATGTGCGTCTGTGTCTCTCCTGGTGGGTCCCAGGCTGCTGCTCCTCCCATCTCAGTGCCTTGAGTTTTCTACTCGTGAAGGACCAGGCTCCTCAACCTGTGAGAGAGGAACACGGTGGCCAGAGCAGTGCTTGCTTCCTAGTGCTTTGAGATCTGGGGCTGGCCCTGACGTCCCTGTGTGACATTCTTACCCAACTCCTAGTGAGACCCTTTTGCCATCTTACTACCAGCGTCTGAAATCAGCAGCAGCCCCAATCTCTCCCTGCCATATCACTCAGTGGTGTAATTGTGCAGAAAAAATGTATTAACATGCAAAACACCCAGTTGTACTTCTTTATGTTAAATCTTTTTTTTGCTCTATCTCCCTTTTAATTTTTACAAGCTTTTTTTTTTCTTTCTCCCCCCTCTAATAAAGAGGAGAGCTGGGCACACAGGGAATCATTTCAACTCCCCTATAAATCTCCAAAATGAATACTTAAATTCCAGGAAAAAATACATTCTTACACCTTTAATTTCCCTGCTATGAAGTGTAATGAAAAAGGCTGATTATTTTTAATTCTTCCCTTTAATAATTCAGCGGCGGAGTGATTTAAGACTAGGATTCATAATTACCTTTCCGCTTTCTTGGTAAATGGAGTTTTAATAGAAATGAGAGCTCTGGTGACCAAAATGGATTTCAACAGGTCGCTGGGGGGTCAGGTCCGACATCGATTGCCAGAATGTTGCTAGGGCCCATGGGAGGTGGGGTCTGGACTGGACACTGGGCCCAGGTGAGTGGAAGGGAAAGTGTATTGCGTGAACTTGGTGGGAACCGGCTGCTAAAATAGTAAGGGCAGGTCTCTGTGGGTATTGAGTGACCTCCTTATCCTGGAAGGCACAAATCAGTGGAAAATGGCCATCAGAAAAGTCTTGCCTTGTAATAATGAATAATAACCATAATATTAAGTCTAGGAGTTACCAAGTTATTAAGCACAGAGTTTTGCTTTATTAATTGAGCAAATACCATGTGCCAAGCATAGTGCTAAGTGCTTCATGGTCATTCTCTCTCCTGGCCCTCCCAATAATCTATTTCTACCTGCAGGGAAACCAAGGCTCAGAGTGGACGGGACAAGACAAAGCCAAGGCAAATGGCAGAGCTGAGGTGTGAGCTCAGCTGTGTCCAGCTCTAGAGCCACCACTGCCCTCTGCTGACTAAGATTCCCAAACCCTTCTCAGAGTTCATTCCCCAGACACAGCACGTGCCCCCTCGCAGCTCACAGAAACAGGCAGACACAGTGGGCGATCAAGGTGATCATGGGGAGACCTGCGCAGAGCGACCCAGGCTAGGGCAGTCGGGCTTCTGATCCCTTCTATCTTGCCACTGCCTGCTAGCTTGAAGGTTCTGGGATATCACTTGTCTGAAACTCAGTTTCCTATCTGTATAATAAAAACTGACTTGCCTTGTTCAGATGGCTGTAATGAGCTTCAAATGTGAAAATGTGGGTGGAAAATCCTTGTAAATCCCAAATCACTCTACCATTATTTGATAGCAGAAGACTTAAAACATCCCTTTCTGACTTACCCCATAGCCCTTTTTCCTGCTGCCTACATGCCCAGACTTCTACCAAACCCTCAAATTTACCTCCTCTCCCAGGAAGCTTCCTGGATTGACTCTTTCAAGGCACATTGTTCCAGCAGCTTCTTCTTTGTATATTTCACAATCACTTTAGCCCTTAAATTCTTTGGCAGAGCATAGGTGTGTTTATCTGTGCCTCCTATAGACTGTTACACCATGGGCAGGGCTTTTATACTCACCCCCTGGAAATCTCAGACCTCTGGCTCTACATTCGGGCTGTGCAGGTTCTCTACCTGCATGGAGATGGACATGAAAACCTATAGATAATCCCAAACCAAGAAATGGTCGTATTGGGTAGCTGAGGTGCAAAGGGAAACACCACGAGGTCATGGGTGTATATATGAGTGCACATACACACCCTCCTCCACGCCTGCACCTGCTCACCTGAGCTTGTCTGTAGATGGACACTGCATCTTACCTTTATTTTATAGTTTATCAAGTGCTTCCCCAAATGTTAAGCCCCATGGCTCTCTCAAAAGCTTCTACAAGAGAGGTGGCAATGGTGGTAGTAGTGGGGGTCATTGTCCTCTCTCGGAGCAAGAGAGGGTCCATGTCTTGCCCAACACCCCTGCCAGGCATGGGGAACCCAGGCCTTTTGTCTCCTAAGCCATGGCACGCTCTGGACAGAGTGGGAACTCCCATGGCAGAGGGGGAGCTCTGGAGTACATACCAGGGAGCATGTGTGCCCTCACTGAGTGTGAGAGGTGACAGAGGGCTCAGGATGCCCAGAGGTGTGGGCCTGGAACAGAGCCCTGCCTGAGTTTAGCAGGAGTCCAAGGGAGCCAGGCCTCCTGCCCGTGGGGTCACCATGTCCCTGGGGGCCTGAGTAAGAAAGGAGGGGCTGGAGCCAGAGGAGGGGGTCCTGAGGACCTCTGCCCAGTGTGGGCGGGCCCCTCCCCCTCCCCCTCCCCTCCTCCTAATACTGCTCCCTGGAAGGAGACAGCATCAGAGGGGCCCTCAGAGATACTTGAGGCCTGATTGGCATAAGTGCCTGATAATGACTCCCATCAAATGTCAAGCTGCGGTGCTGTGGCTCCTGGGGCTGATTGCTCCCCTTGAGAGGGTGTGGTAGGAAGGAATCTGGTCCTGGATGCTTCTCCACTGGGGAGATCCCACCCCAGCCTTGTCTGCAAGGCAGCTCTTCCCCGCTGGGCTCTCCCTGCTGCGAACTACCTCAGGGTGTAGCGTGCTGAGGTGGGTGGAAAGGGTGGGGCTGCAGCCAGCACTGACCCCCTTGCCCTGTGCTGGGCCAGGGTCTTGCAATGGACAGAGGAAGAAGAAGCTTGACTGGGTCTTTGCAGAAAAGCCCAGCTTCTTCGAGGTCCTGGGGAGCACCCCAAGACTTGGTGACAATGACAGTAGCTGAATGAACCTCGTGGTATTAGCCTTGCCTCAGAATTGGCCCTCTGTCACCTCTGCTGAGTTCTGTTGGTTGCCAAGAGCACTGTAGTTTGGATTTTGAATGTACCCCAGAGGCTCACATGTTAAAAGTCTGGTCCCAAGCCTGTGTGTTACTAGGAGGTGGTGGAACCTTTAAGAGGTGGGGCTTAGTTGGAGAAAGTTAGGTCACTGGGGTCCTGGTCTTGAAGGGGCTGTTGAGAACTCAGTCTTTTCCTGTTCCTCTCTTTGTTTCCTGGCCACCATGAGGTGACTTTCCTTTGCTTTGTATTCCTGCCACAATGTGCTATGTCACCACTGGCCCAACCAGAGCCAGATAGACATGGACTGAAACTTTGGCAACTTTGATCCAAAATAAAGCTTTCTCTCTTTAAGATAACTTTCTCAGGTATTTTGTCAGAGTAACAGGAAGCTAACTAACACAGTAAGTCACAAGGCAGTTCAGATTCCACAGAAGAAACAGATTCCATTTCTTGCTGGGAGAAGCTGCAAAGGCGCATCACAAAGGGGTGTGAATACCAGGAGGGAAGGATTTGGAGAGTACTATAGTTTGAAAATAGTTTGAGTGTCCCCCAAGGGTCTATATGCTGGAGGCTTCATCCCTAGGGTAAGACAGCAAGTGGGCAACAACTTATAAACTTTAAAATGCTGTACACATGTCAATTGTTTGGGTTGCCAGCCCCCTCCTGGACAACAAGTTTAGTGGGAAGAGCTGTTCCGTTCTCTTGGGGACTCACGGATTCCCTTCATTTCTGGTAATAGCTGATGCTGGGTTTTGGTCATTAAATAAGTGCTTCTTTGGCTGAAAAAACATCAAAGAGTTTGCTGAGCTAGACTCATAGTAAAGAAAGTTGTAGAAATGAAGTTATCATTGTCCTCAGGTGGAGGAGGCTCAGGGGCCTAAATGTCATGCTGAGTTGCTGAGTGTTTGAGTATCCGACTTGTTCCAGCTGAATGTAAAGAGAATCATGGCTGATAGACTTGTGATGGAGATGGCATATAGCTTTTCTGCTGCCGGGGTTGCTGTTCTCCCTCTCACATGGCCTGTGGACCACTGAGTTTCAAGCCCACTGGGAGTAGAATAAGCTGAAATGGCCATAAAGGTTGTGGTTAAAATTCAGATGAGAGTAATCAAGAACTTCTTGACTGCAGTGAGTCATAACACTACTAATAATGACTAACTTTATTGAGGACTTACCATGCGCCAGGTAACCATGCTAAACCTTTTGCAAACTGCATCCCAATGGGAGATTGATGCTACTTAGGTAAGTTGCTCAAGGTCACACAGGGGGTGAGAAGATGAGCTGGCCCTGAACGCAGGTGGTCTGACTCCACCTGAGGTGTGACACTCATTGCTAAGGCCAAGTCCATTGCTTTCAGCCTTGGGCCTGCCCAGGACCCTCTGCCACGTGGGGAAGTGCACGGCCAGGGAATGGGAAGTGCAGTGGTTTTTCCATGGAAAGGGCAGCTTTCATGTGGCTTCATGTGTCTTCCCCAACTGGAGCAGTGAACAGAGAATAGGTGTGTGAGCAGAGCATGTCTGGTCAGGCTCTGTCTTTCAACGAATGATGCATCGCTAAGATACCAAGGCCACTATCTCCCCACTCCTTGTGGTAGCTGCTCTCTGGTTGTGTATCATGCCCAAGGGAGTGAAACTGATTCTAGGAAGCTTGTCCACTTCCTCTAGCTCTTCCCAGAGAGGAGATAGAGTGGAGGTGTGTGTGCAGGGCTGGCCAGGATGAGGGACAGCCCTGGGTTGGCAACACATTCCATCTGAGCATATTTCTCCAGGGGCCTTTGGAGAAGGGGCCTCTAATGAAGTTAGTGCCTCTATAAAATAGCCCCGAGGGAGGCCCCCATTCCTTCTACCCTGAGAGGATACACAGCTAAAGTTGTCGTCTTATGAACTCAAAAGCCCTCATTAGACACCAAATATGCTGGGTTCTCGCTTGGACTTTCCAGCCTTCAGAACTGAGTAAAATAAATTTCTGTTATTTAGAAGCTACTTGGTCTATTTAGAAGCTACTTGTTTTAACAGCCTGATAGTCAGGGTCTGCAGCTGTAGCAACAGACCCTGGACTCTGACTTGGCTAAGCAGAACAGGAATCGGTTAGCATGCTGGTGTCTCATACAATTATAGTGAGGCTGGAGAGCAGGACCATAGGCTAAAAGATAGGCACAGTGTCCACAGCACACAGAACTGACCAATGGGAAACCCGCAGCTGCTGCTGTCCCTCCGGGAGCCAAAGGAGCCTCTGCTCTACTGCTGTTGCTTACTGACTGAACTTCTGGACCAGAAACTCAATCTTGCTATCCCATCCGCCCAACAGCCAGAAACTACCATTTGCACCCCTGCCAGCATGATGGATCCTGAGCATCACCTCCTTATAGTCTCTGATGAGTGAATCTGATCAGTGGAATCTGAGTCACTGATCTGTGCTCCAGCTGCAAAGGTGGCTGGGTAATCAAGTTTCTGCTTTCTAACTTGGGAAGCTACAACTGATAAGGTGAATAAAACTCCCAAACATAGCAAGTATGTTTGCAGTACAGCCAACCAACAATAATCATGGTAAAGTCTTCTACAAGGATGGTAAGGCCTCAGACCAGACCTGGAAATACATCTTTCTTTTCCCAGTGAACCTCCCATACTCCCATACTTAGCTCTGCATAGTACAAGGCAGGCAGTCTGTATTTGCAGAATGAAAGACTCGGCCAAGATGTGCGTGGTGGCTCACGCCTGTAATCCCAGCACTCGGGAGGCTGAGGCAGAAGGATTGCTGTGAGTTCAAGACCAGTCTGGGCTACACAGTGAGTTCCAAGTCAGTCTCAACTTCTCAACTACATAGTGAGACCCTGTTAAAAAAAAAAAAAAAGAAAGATTCAATGACAGAGAAGGTGGTGCTTTTTAGTTATCAATATCCCATGAAAGTTTTAAGGCATCTAGATAGATCTCAGTGCCTTATCTGACCAGGCTTGCTATCTAGTCTGTGACCTGGGCCATTGGTCTGATTCTCTGCACTCTGAGTATGGACAGTGCTCTGGCTCTTAGAACGGGGCAGAAGGGAATGGATCCAGTTCAGTTTAGAGACAAGCATTTCAATACACCTCTGTGTACTTACTCAACTATTAGTTACTACAGTCAGGGTGTCCACATTCTGATACCACCTCAGGACTGGAGGAGCCAGCCCCCTCTCTGGAGCCAACAACACGGTTGGCCTAAGCAGTTCCCTCTCCTTGGTCAAGAAGGAGCCAGTATGAGGCAAACAGAACTCTTTTTGGTGGGGGTAGAGAGAGACTTCTTGACACTTTTGGAAGAATCTGAGTGTTGCTGTCTTGCTAGTTGTCTCTGAAAGTTGCTGTGAGCAGATTTAACACTCAAAACTTCCCCAGCTGCCTCATGGTTTAGTCAGGATGAAGTGTACCTATTAGCACTCGCAGGGAAACCAGGTTCCCTTGCCTGCAAGTTTCCAGACAGTGAATTTCCTAACCAGGGGAGCCACTTTGTTCAGTAGTCTGTCTTTCACCTCCCAGTAACCACTCATAGGTACAATTGTTGAAGATGGGCTGAATGAAGAGTAGCCCCCCAGACAAACGTTTTTCCTTGGTCACATGTGACAATGTCTGAGATGCACCAAGGAAGCCCCGCATCTAGGCGATCCTGTTTAGGGTAGAAATGCTTCCAGAATAGATGACCCACAGCCCCTCAGCATCTCAGAGCCTGGAGGAGTTTTTCAGGAAGTTGTGAAGCCAGTTGCTAACCACCACTTGGGATCCAGATGGAAAGAGGCAGGGCAGAGGGGAGAGAGACGGTGTCGCTCTCCAGCAAATAAAGGTGGGGAGGTTGCTTTCTGTGTACCTTCCATGGCTGGCCACATTTCTCTTGGTCAGGATGGGATGAGGCAGCCTGTGGGGAGCCCTCACATGTTCCATGATCTCCCAAACAGGGACAGAGGTTGTCAGGGATATTTCTGCCTTCAGAACATGGATCCCCAGGGCTGTGGATCTGCTCCACATTATTTAAAGAGAAAGGAGGCCTGGTGCTCCAGAGGGCTCCAAACTGCTCCATATTTTTCTGGGAGGGGAGTCGGGTGGAACATAAATAAGACAATTTATTCAGAGAAACCATCTTCTCTATTTACATTTAAATTGAATAATTTAAAACACCTTTACCCATTTCCATAAATTATCCCCCATTGGACGGGCAATCCGACTGTGCGGTGGGGTCCTGGGAGAGGCCTAATTACATTCTCTGCTACAAGGCTGGGGAG